GGCTGGGGCCCAGGCAGGAGGAGGCTGGGCAGAGGACGTGCGGCTCCAATCTGGTCAGATGGCAGGAGCCAGGATGGCTTAGTTACCCTCTGAGGGACAAATCACATGAAACTCAGAGCTCAGCAAACAAGCACTTTTAAAGACTCAGGAAAATGCCCGCCAACAACAGACACCGACTCAGCCTCTCCCCACGGAAGGGACGCTCTGAGTAGATTTGCACACGCACAGCTGCTGCCCAGAGATTTTACCTGGCACGGAATGGATTTTTCTTCCTATAATCTTTTTTAGAGTGTGAAGGTCTTTGAACCATGATGATCCTGGACTTCTAGGTCGCTAGGGACCAAGGGGTTTTGGGGATTTTCATCGTTAAAACCGGACTAGACTGGTGGGCAAATCGAGAACGTTGCTCCCTCCCTCCCTCTCTCTGTCTCCCTCTTTCCATCCTTCCTTCCAGGCAAGTGCTTCACCACTGCGCTCTGTCCCCAGCCCTGTTTTATTTTTTTGAGATGGTCTCGCTACATGGCTGAGGCTGGCTTTGAACTCAGTATGTAGCCCAGGCTGGCTTCAAACTCACGATTTTCCCACTTCAGCCTCCTGAGTCCTGGGATTACAGGTGTGCACCACTGCAACAGATGATACCATAAATTCAGATCAGAGATTAGATATGAAAAAGAAGAAACCGGATGCGGTGGCCCGGCCCTCAGGGGCGGATGCAGAACTGAAAGTTTGAGACCAGCCTGGGCTACATACTTGAACAGCTTGACTAGCAAGTTCAAGGCCAGCCTCAGCCATAAAGAGAGAACCTATCTCCAAGACATATGTAAATGAACAAACCTAGGGCGCAATCGTGTGAAGGAAATGTCTGACTAAAAAGCATCTTCTTTCGGTTCTCAAAGCCTGGGGATGTTGGCTGGGTGGAAGAGGCAATCATGTCAGAGTTCTTAGCTTTCCTCGCATATGGCCCCTAAGAGGAAGGAGATACTTTCCCCAGAAGGATACAGGAAGATGTTTGTGAAGGCCTTGATCTTCCTAACGGGGGCTGACACTGAACTGGTAGACAGGAATTAAAATGTGTAGTCTAATTAGCCCTCAGAGCCAGAAAGACAGTAGACACATCACTTGAGGAACTGATTCATGTAAGTTCATTCTTTCCTCCCTCCCTCTTATCCTCCCTGTCTCTCTTTCCCTCTATCTTTCTCTACTTCTGTCTCCCTCCCACCTGGTACTGGGGATTGAATCCAGGACCTCTGAACTAAGCTGCATCCCAGCCTCCCTCACTCTTGAATCAGGGTCCTGCTGAATCACTAAGTTTCCAGGCTGGACTCAAACTAGCTATCTTCCTGTCTCAGCCTCCCAGAGTGCTGGAATTGCAGGCGAGTGCCACTGCACCTAGCTCTGTGCCTTCTTTTCTAATTTCATGCATAATTCCACACATCGCTGTGGCCCAGTCAGCATAAAGATCAAAGGACACGAGTTAGTGAAGCTGGATGAATGACTGGGATTCCTAAGGACCTACCTCCCGGATGCCTGCACCCTCTGGGGTCGGCAGTAACTCTCCTCTCTTTCAGGGTCTGCACACACTGTTCTCAGCAGCTACTGGTCCCGGCAACTGGGGAAGAAAAACATGCGTGGTAGGTCTGCTCTTTTCCAATTTCTGTTTATTTGGCTAACTTTAAACTGGTGTCCTTCTCATAGGTACTCTCCCCTTGAAAATGTAGTAAAACCTTATGCGTCATCACTTGTGAGAAATATCATCCACCCTTAAATATCCTCCACCCGACTCCTCTGCCTCGGTCTCCCCAACAGACACTTTACATGTAGTCAGGACTCACTTAGACTCTGGTGAATGGAATCAGCTTGTTGTATGTCTTTGGCCCAGAGAGGTTATTATTATTATTAGTAGTAGTAGTAGTGCCTGGGATTGAACTCAGGACCTTTGGGCTTGCAAGGCAGGCACAGTGCCACTGAGCTAAATTCCTGGCCCCAGAGAGGTTATTGATAATGTGATAAATGGACGATTGTTAAGCCTCATTTGTATGGCTGGCGATATCACAGGATTGGGTCAAACAATTTTCAGCCCAAGTCCCTTAGGGACCAGTACGGTGCTCAGGGAGAGAAGAGGGACCGTGGCCAATGAGACTGCGCTGCGCTGGCCTCAGAGCAGGACTGCGACCCCACAAGCTGGAGAGCTGCCCTTCCGACAGCCTTGGGCTCTGGCACCCAGAAGTGGAGGCGGCAAGGAGGCTGGCTTCGTTCCTGACGACTCTGATTCCTCTCCTCAGTGCTGAGCTCCACGTCTGTCTGCCCAGCCTGTGTGGTTGCTCGAATACAGGGGTTATTGAAAAGTACAGTGAATGCTTAAATTTAAAGAATTTTTTATGTTGAGACATGTGTTGCCATCAACCCCCTCAAATGACTGCCTCTTGCTCTGAACACACTTATCCCACTGTTCTTTCTGAAGCAGCTCTGGGAGTCCGTCCTCTTTCATGGCTTTCAGAGGTGTATTACGAAATATGGTGAGCACTTGCTGAGTGCCATCCGGCAGAAAGGGAGGCTCGTAGAGACATCAGAGTGTGTCCCCAGCCACTAGACCTGGCACCGTGTGCCTTCCGGCTCTTCCCCAGGATCACAATGAACATGAAAAGTAAATGTTTTGGATCAATGTAGGATGTCAAGGCAGCCACAATAGGGTAAGTAAAGACACTCATGACTGAAGACTTCCAGAAGTGCTCCAGAAAGTTGCAGGAACAATGGGATACGTGTGTTCAGAGCGATGGGAAGTATTTTGAGGGGAATTAATGGCAACGTGTCTTTCACTGTAATAAAACTTGCTTAAACATGCACTGTTTTTTTTTTTGTTGTTGTTGTTGTTGTTTATTTATTTATTTTTTTTGGTACTGGGGATCAAACTCAGGCCCTTGTGCTGGCAAGGCAGGCGCCGGAACCACCGAGCTAAATCCCCGGCCCTACACTGTATTTTTTTTTATCACACTTCGTATGTTATGAGTAAGCCAACCCTCTCTGTCATATTCAGAGCTGAGAATGTGAGGCCTTCAAAGGAGTGCCAGGACCACCTCTGCTCCTCTTTTTAGACTTCCTGTCCATGCCTCTACCTTTCCCATGTCTTGCTTTCTCCTGGAGGAAGCTGTGGGTAGGAGGTAGCTCCGGGGTTGCAGGAAGTAGTAGGGGAAGTGATAAAGAAAAGGCTCAAGAGGAGAAGAGGTGAGGCTGTATGTTCTACAGATCGAATTGCATTTGTGGCCCTGTGGGCAGATCGAGGAATTTATTCTTTAAAATGACTTGGATATTGGCAGATGCCCGAAATCCCAGCACCAGCAGGCTGAGGCAGGAGGATTGCTGAGAGTTTGAGGCCACCCTGTATTACACAGTAAATTAAAACCAGCTGGAACTATACAGTGAGATCGTGGCTCAAAAACAAAACAAAACAAACAAACAAAACAAAAAACACGAAAGAAAGAATGAAGAGAGAGCTGGGAGGACTACGGGGTGGGTGATAAAAGGTCTGTCACTATGTTTTGTTAATTATAGAGGGTGAATGTGCTCCTAATTGCGACTTCTTTTATGTTTTCTCAGCATTTCAGTGTTCCCCCCGAGGAGGAGAACTGGACATTTCCCTGCGCCCCGATGGACGTGTAGACATCAAGGGTGGTGCTGCCCTGGTCATGGAAGGGACGCTGACGGCCTAGGGATGGTCGCACGGGATGCCGCTTCTCCACCCACGCGGTGTTTTCTGTGTACCAAGAAACCTAAGAGCCTACACAGTGGCCTGCTTGCTCCTCGTGCCAAATATAGAAAGCCGAAAGCCGTGTTAGTGAGGTTTAATCACCAGTCCAGGCTAATTAACTAATGCGGTTTGTACTTGATTTTTTTTTTCTGGTGCTGGGGCTTGAACCCAGGGCCTTGGCCATACAAGGCAAGTGCTCTGTCTTCCGTGAATGCCTTTGAATGTGAGTAATCAGTAGCAGAGAATACCGCAGTCACTTCTTCGATTATGACCGTCAATCAGAGATGAGGAATACTACATTTATGAAAAGTGAGGATTCAACTTAGGTGTGAGTACTGGTGGAATATTTTTGCAGTCATCTAAAAGACACAGTGACTCTGTGGACATATAGAACATTGTTTCATGATATAATACTAAGAAAAATTGCAGTAAGCTGTAGAGTGTTAGCCGTGTTATGCTGTGACTTAGAGAATATGAATTTCTCCAGAAAAATATGAGCCATGGAATAGTTCATGTGTGTGAGATAGGACTGAGAGTCATTTTAATAAAGCTAAAATAGTATTTGCCTCATTGTTGCATTCATGTACAACAACTACAAATTAAGACAAAGCCCAGAAAATTAAATAAATGTGTCTTAGGGTATTTCCTGCGATAATAAAATTAAACACTAAAATGACTATAGTCTCGTGCCAGGTGTGGAGGTGCACGCCTATAATCTCAGCACCTGGGAAGCTGAGGCAGGAGGTTCACTGCAAGTTCAAGGTCAGCCCGGCCTGTCTCCTCCCACCCCCAAAAGAATATAGTCTCAGTCTCTTTCTTGATATGTGACCTTAAAATGCAAGCTCAAAAGGGATTCTTCTCAGCTGGGGATGGTGGTGTACATCTGTTATCCTAGCACTCTGGGAGGCTGAAGCAGGAGGATCACAAGCCAGAGTCCAGAGTGGGCAAATTAGCAATTTACCAAGATCCCTTCTCAAAAAAAAAAAAAAAAGTCCTGGGAATGTAGCTCAGTACCAAGGTCCAGGATTCAGTCCCCAGAGGCGGGGTGGGGGTAGAAGTGGATTTTTCTCTCACCATAATAAAATAAATTTTAATGTATGTGGCAGGGCAGGTTGGTCATGCTGATCTTCAGGCAAACAGGAAAGGGAGTGGCCTTTTTAGGTGGCAGAAGCACAGACCCTCCAGGACTGGCACACTGCGTGCCAGTGAGTTTCCTTCTGCCCTGCACATGGCAGGATTGGGAGTGACTCACCACACCCACAGACACTGACAAAAAAAAATGCGTATTGTCTTCACTCACTAAATTAGGAGGTAATTTATTGTGGAACCACAGATAATTAATGTATATGCTATTTTATCTTTTCATTTTTTTTTTCTCTTTTGAGACAGGGTCTTAGCCCTGTATATATTACCCAGGCTGGCTTCAAATTCATGGGCTCAAGAGATCCTCCTGTCTCAGCTTCCAAAATACCTGATGTATATCTCTGCACCTGACACATACTGAATTTTACTTTACAAAAATTCAAATTTAGCCAGGTGTGGTGGTGCATACCTGTAATCCCAGCATTTGAGGCAGGAGGATTGCCACAGTTCAAGGACACCCTGGGCAACATAGTTGAGTTCAAGACCAGCCTGAACTACATAGCAAAAACCAAACAAAAACAAAACCTCAAATATATACTAGTAAAATTTTTAAATTATTTAAAGGTATGAAATACCATAATGAGTCCCCATGAACCACTATCAGATTTAACAGTTTAAAAAAATATATATATATACATACATATATTTTGTTTTGTTTTGTTTTTTGAGACAGGGTCTTATTCTGTAATTCAGACTGCTCTGGAACTCACTGTGTAGCCCAAGCTGGTCTCAAACTCACAGTGCTCCTCCTGTGTCAGTCTCCCCAGTGCTGGGATTACAGGAGTGCACCACTACGCCCGGCTTAAAAAAATATTTTGAATGTTGGGCATTGAACCTAGGGCCTTAATCATGGCTTGTGCTTAACCACTAAGCTATAACCTCAGCTTGGTTCAGCAAATGACCACTCATTTAGACCTTTACCCATTTCCCCTCCTCTCTGCATCATTTGAAGCACTGTGTTAGTTAACTTTGCATTGCCAGAACAAAATATCTTGCACAATTTATTTGTTTTGTTTTGGGGTCCCAGGGATATGAACTCGGGTCCTTGCGCTTGCGAGGCAGGCGGTGGAACCACTGAGCTAAATCCCTGGCCCCAACACAATTTACGGAAGGAAAGATTTATTTTGGCTCACAGTTTTAGAGGGTTCAGCACACGGCTGGCTGGGTCAGAGGCAGAAACACCACGGTGGAAAGCTATGGCAGAGGAAACTGCTCACTTGCTGGCAGCCGGGAAGCGGAGAGACAAGGACAAGCCTAAGAGGAAGGGGCCAGGGACCAGATACAGCCCCCAAAGTCACACCCTCATGACCCCCAGCTGCACCCAGAAGTGTGCTTTTCTAATCTCCCAATCTCTCAAGCCACTCAAGTTGGCAATCAAGCTTAACCATCATAGACACATCTCTCATCAGCAAATCTTTCAGTATTCATCTAAAATCTAAGTAGGTACCAGGGCGCTGGGGAGGTGATGTAGATCAGCACTGAAACACCTGTTTAGCATGCATAAAGCCCTGGGTTCAAACTCCAGCACCAAAAATAAATATCAAAATAAAATATGAGCTCTCTTTTAAAAAAGTAACTTTTTAAAAAAGGCTGGGGATTTAGCTCAGTGGTACCATGCCTGCCTTGCAAGTGCGAGGCCCTGAGTTCAATCCCCAGTAACCCCGCAAAAGTAACTTGGATACCGAAGTCACATCTGTGGTTGACAGACTGTTGTGATGGAGCTGTAGTGTTCATACCCGCATATAATTATCCCCCTTCTAACTAGAAAGCATGACAGCTGGGCATGGTGGAGCTCACCTCAACTCCCGGTACTCTGGAGGCTGAGGCAGCAGGATCAAAAGTTTGAGGCTAAGAGCTGGGGATTTAGCTCCGTCGTTCTGCTTCCTGCCTGTCTTGGAAGCACAAGGTCCCAAGTTCGATCTCCGCTTAAAAAAAAAAAAAAAAAAAAAAAAAAGAGTTCGAGTCCAGCCAGGCTGTAGAGTAAGTCCCTGCCACACATACAAGATGGCATGGGTGTGATCACTTCTGCTTTTTGTATGATTGTGTGGTGTCAGGTTGAAGCACAACCTTGCAAGCTTTGAGGAGGTGGGGTCCCATGGTGGGGAACCCAGAAGGAACCGAGGGGACATCTAGCCCTTGCCTGCAAGAGGATGGGGCCTCAGCCTCAGCTTTGTGTAGCCCGCAGCCTCAGTAGGTTTGAAGCCGATCTTCCCAGCTGAGCACACATGAGACTCAGACTCCAGCCCTAGCCAGCTCCTCAGTGCACTTCCTGCCTGGACCAATGACCCATGGAAACTAAAATAATAACTACATTGTTTCCAGCCACTGTATGTGCACGAGATTCATGTAGCACTGGGGATGGAAGCCAGGGCCCTCACACTGAGCTACATCCTCAGTCCTTTTTATTCTGAGAGGTGGCTAAATTGCTAAGTAGCCCAGGCTGGGCATGAATTTATAATCCTCCTGCCTCAGCTTCCCAGAGTGCTGCGATGACAGGTGTGTGCCATCATGCCTGGCTTAAGTGTGGAACGATATTGGCATGCAGCAATAGAAAACTCATACAACAACCCCAAACTAGAAATGCTATTACTGAATATCTAGTTAAGGTTCCTGTTTCCCTGATTGCCTTATGCCTATTTTTACAGTATTTTTAAAGAGATGCTGACATTAGCCTGCACCATATAAAGTGTGAGGCCACAGCAGGTAACCTGTCTTAGAGCACAGCCTGCAACCTCCTCCCCACGGCCTGGCCTGTTGCACAGATCCAGCTGCATGGGTCCTGCCAAAGTGTGTGTCCTTAGCAGACCTTCCCGGGGCCTCTGAGTTGACCAGCCCTGTCTTTCCACTTGAATCACATCATAGTCAAGTCATTGTTTATTTATTTATTTGACAGGGGTCTGGCCTTGAACTCATAGCGATCCTCCTGCTTCAGCCTCCAGAGTGCTGGGATTACAGGTGTGTGCCAACACACCCAGCTTCCTTCTGTTCCTTTCATGTTGCTAGACTTTACCAATCTCATCCCCAACCCTGTCATGAGGACAAAATCCATCACCCTGTGGAGAACCATTGCTTCAGATTGACTTTAATTTTCTCTGTCTTTTTAAAAATTTAATTTGATTAGTATGTGTTTCAGTACCTAATGATTACATTCACTGCTGGGAGTTGGTGCATGTATTAGCACACCTTAAAAAATCATTTCTATTTTTGTTTCTTTTTATTGTACTGGGGACTGAACCTAGGTCCTTGTATATTCTAGGCCGAGGACTTCACACTGAGCTACATCCCCAGCGAATTTTCTCCTTTTTCGAGCGCGCATGTGCCTGCGTGCATGTGTGTGCATGTGCGTGTGCGTGCGTGTGTGTGTGTGTGTAACTTTCAGAGGGCTGACTATTTTCCTCTTAAATTTTTTTTTGGATGGGAATCCACCTGCTGTCCTCCCTGCAGACTGCAAATTAGGCGCCCATCTGGGATCTGAATCCCAGCCCTGGTTAGAGCTGGGCTAAGCAATCGGGCCTGATAGGTAAAAGGTGGTGGAATACGGCAGGCGAGGACCCTGACGGAAGCCAGCAGGCTGCAAAGGAGTTTGTTTAAGGGCTCCTGACGGACTGTTTCTAAGCCCCAGACCAGGCTCATCCTTTGGTGATGAGGGACGGGGGCCCGTGTGGAGCACAGACAGGAGTGCTGAGGACTCGGTCTCAGGAAGGCCCAGGAGGAGGAGGCTCGGAGGTGCCTGCATGGGCATGCCTGGGTTTTGGCTAAGTCATCTACTCTTAGAAAGTTCCTGGTAGGTCCTGTGGGGGCAGAGAGAGAAATACAAAAACCACCAATTAAAACGAATCGTCCAATTGAATAGACGACGTGTGATCTTCAAGGATAGATGAAAAATACCGAAAGTTATTTATTTATGTCTATTTGTTTTGAAACAAGGTCTCTATGTAGCTCACTGTGGCCTTGAACTCACTATGTAGCCCAGGCTGGCCCTGAACTGGCACTGATCCTCCTGTCTGAGTCTCCTGAGAGCTGGGGTTACAGGTGTGCACTACCACACCTGGCTAACAATCCCTCCAAGTTAATTCCGGTGTCTGCTTAAATCTGAAAACCGCTGAGTGTCCAGCCTTCCAGGTTTAGCCACCATTTTCTTCACTTTGGAGCCACAATGGCCTATGCAGCTCAACGACTTTTTTTTTTTTTTAGACAGGGTCTCACTATGTAGTTGAGACTGCACTGAAACTCACTATGTTTCCCAGGCTGGTCTCAAACTCACAGCGATCCTCTTGCCTCAGCCTCCTGAGTCCTGGGATTATAGGCGTGCGCCACCATGCCCGGCTTCATCAGCTCAATGACTTTTTTTTTAAGGTGTTGGCAAGGACTTTCTTTTTTTAAAAAAAATTTTAAACTGAGTTTGTTGTTACATTTTAGGTATACAGTATAGTTACATTCATTATTGAGATCTTGTACCTTTACATGACAGGTCTTGGTAGCTCAATGACTT